GACGCGTATGCTGAATTTAAGGAATTCGCTCGTCTGTCACCTAGCCAACAGGTACAAAAGACGGAAGGAAAAATTAATTATTACAGCCAGCAACTAGAAGCTGTACAAGATGAACTTGACTCTGCAGAAACACCAGAAGCAAGGAAGTTCACGCTGAACAACTTAAAAAGGGCACATGAAAATTCTTTGAAATATTGGAAGGATTTACAAAAAGATCTAAAACCAAGTGTCCAAGCAATGCAGGAATCAACTGCTCTAGTAGAAGGAATTCAAGCTAGAATATTGGCTCAACTAAACAGCAACGAAGCCGAAAAGAAAAGAAGAGAATTGAATGAAATGATTGGCATCAAGGAAGCTTACTTAAGCAATAACCTCTCTGCTGACCAATTACAACGACCAAGTGCAGCAGAAGCACTATTCTTCCAAATGAAGACCAAGAGAGAAGAAGGACCAAGTGGAAATACGCAAACAGCAAATGCTATTTTAAACAACATTGCTCCATTTTTTGGAGACGGAAAGCAAAGTTGGTTTGAGTGGTGGACCCTCTTCCAATTATCATTGGCGGATTGTAATTTGTCAGACAACAACCTGAAAACATTCCTACTCCAAAAAATCCAAGGACCCGCAAAAAACCATTTAATGGGAATTTCTGGCATTTTGGGGAAGGATTATCGCCATATCATACAAGCGCTGCAAAACCGATACCAAAAAACAGCCCTTAGTACTGGATCGCAAGAATTAAAACGGATTGCGCAAGGAGCGAACGAACAAGTACAAGATTATGCCTCGCGCATTAGAAGAATTGGAAATCAAATGTTGGGAGAATTGCCCAGTGAACTCAAAGTGTTCAAAAAGGATGGAGAAGAACCAATAATTACCACCAATCCATTCTTTCGTGAAGAAATGATAGAAATGCAAGGAGTGAAAAAAATGCTAGACAAACAAATGCTGGAAGCATTTATGCGTGGACTCCGAAAATCCATCCACGCCCGATTTCCATTATATCCATCAACATTGGAACATGCAATTGAAGTAGCCACAAATGTGGAAGAATTGATCTTCAACGCCAGAGGATCCGACGAATATGACATGCATCATTTACGAAAAGGAATACAGAGAATTAATTTCTCCTCAAGCAATAGAGATCCCCAAGAAAAGGAAACCAGAACTTGTTACACATGTGGAAAAATTGGTCATCTACAAAAAGATTGTTACCAAAATACTAGAAGAAACGACCAACCTAACAGAAGACAAGTGGGATTTAATGACAGACCAACAACCTACGGGAAGGATCGCCAAAGAGGAAGATCCCCTGCTGGAAGAACCAGGAGACCATCGACTCCCGTTCAACCTAGAAGAAGTCCAAATACCAACAGAACCTCTTCTAGAAGCCCTCATAGAAGATTCCGAAGCAAGAGTCCCAATGGGCGAAATAACTACAAAAAATCAAATGAGGATCGCCCTCAAGGACAATACATGCCTTACGGATTCTCCAATGAGAAAAAAGTCAACCATATTGCTGAGAGAAACGTCGTAACTGATCTACTTCTTCTTCTTCTTCTTCTTTAACACAAACGTCCTCTTCTTCACAGTCTGAGCCCTTTGCTCATGACTGGCCTTAAAGATTAGTTAACGGGGTCTTTAATGGCCAGTAGAAGGACTTATGAAGTGTGACGGACTTGCCAGTGAAGTTTCTTGTGGACACTGGAGCTGAAGTATCAATCCTCTCCTCTACTGTTCTAAAAACTTCTGTGTATCCTGTTTCAACTTCAACTACAATATCTACACTAGAAGGAAATCAAGTCAACATCCTGGGAGAACTGTCTGCTGAAATCTATTTATCTACTCCTGTCTTTGCCAATTTCGTCATTCTTGACCTGCAACAACCTGGATTTGAAGGAATAATTGGAAGCGATATTCTGCGAAAATTACACGCCATCATCGACTATCCAATGAATCAAATTCAGCTCAACAACACCCAAATTCCATTTTTTACCAAGACTTCGTCAAAACTCAAGATCAGGAAATTATCAACATCTTATCATGATCCTGAAGCCGAATTTCAATCAGAACATCGATTTCGACTATATCCTGTGATTACCACCATAGTACCCAAATTTTCGCAATTACTGGTACTCACCAAGCCAGCAACACCCCATCAAATCAAGGGATGTGCTGCTGATATTTATGTACACATCAGACAACAAGAAGATCTCGTGACTGGAAGAAGTCTGTCCTTAATGAAAAATGGACAGGTTCATGTTTTGTGTCTGAATCCAACTGAAAACGACGTCACATTAACACCCAAAAGAACCTTGGCTTTTGCATCATATTTTAAATACGACCCACCAAGCCAAGTGAATACCATCAAGAAGAACGAATCCAAAGAGAGGATCCATGGGAAAACAGAGGATCAAGATATCGACACGCTGATAGAAGAAAATCTACGAAAGTCGGAATGTCCTCCTCCTCTCATACCAAAAATGCGTCAACTTCTTACCAAGCACAAAAACGTATTGGCTTTAAAAACCGATATTTTGGGCTTATGCAACATCTACGAAGCTGACATACCGCTGGATACGACAATCCCCATCTATACGCGACAATATCCAATACCTTTTGGCATGCGACCATTATTAGCCGAATATGTACAAGAACTATTGGACCAAGAAATCATTCGTCCCTCAAAAAGTCCATACAATAGTCCAACTCTTATGGTAAAGAAGAAGGATGGCGGATGGAGGATGGTTGTCGATTTTCGACGCCTCAACGACCATGTGATCACGGATCCCCATCCACTACCAAGAATCAACCAAATATTTGAAGAATTGGGAACTGCCCAATATTTCACAGCATTGGATTTATTACATGGATTTTATAACCTGAAAATTCGGGAAGAAGAACGTTGGAAAACTGGCTTTTCCACACCCTTAGGACATTATGAGTTCATCAGACTTCCAATGGGTCTCAAAAATAGCCCATCAATATTCCAAAGACTCATGAATCTTGTCCTGGATGGATGCTTGGGAATGTACGCGTATATCTACATCGACGACATTGTGGTTTATTCAAGAAATGCTGACTTACATCTGTCACACTTGAAGGATATTTTTCAACGACTGGAAAAAGCTGGATTGAAAGTTAAATTCAGCAAGTGCCAACTTTTCCGCACTCAAATTGAATATCTTGGCTTCCTCATCAGCCAAGAAGGAATAAAAGTCAATCCTGAAAAAGTCCAAGCTATCAGACATTTTCCAGTGCCAAAGGATGTCAAAGGGATCCAAGCCTTCCTTGGGCTTGTAGGATACTTTCGATCATACATCAAAGATTTTGCAATACGTGCAAGACCCCTGTATGACCTCCTGAAAAAGGATATCCCTTTCAAGTGGAACAAGGAACAACAAGCATCTATGAATGACCTACAAAAGTGCATGTTATCCGCACCAATCCTGTCATTCCCAGATTTTTCGCAAGAATTCATCTTGACAACGGATGCTTCTGCACTAGCCATCGGGGCTGTGCTTACACAAAAAATTGGGAAAAAGGAAGTCCTCATTGGATGCGCATCTAGAACACTCAACCCAGCTGAGAAAAATTATCCAAACACCGACCGGGAGATATTAGCAGTGTTCTATGGTGTGACACAATTTCGGTCATATCTCTGGGGATACCCATTTACCATCAAGACGGATCACATTGCAATACCATATTTAAGCCGTCAACGTCAAAACGACAGCCGCAGAGCAATCACGTGGTTTACAACACTCAACGAGTATTCTTACAAGGTGGAATACAAAAAGGGATTACAGATCCCCCATGCGGATGCGCTCAGCAGATATCCTCCTGCTGTAAATACCTTATGCGCATATCTATCGCCAACGTTCCAGGAAACAACACTGTTGCCTTATATTCCAAAAATGATCATCCAAGAAGAAACAAAAAAGGTGCAGAATAAACCTACTGGCGAAAAATACCAACTCAAGGACAATTTAGTCATGAAGGATGAAGAAGGAGAATGGAAAATTTGGATCCCTCCTGCTCTACGATCCCAAATCATTCAACTACATCATGATCCTCCATCAATGGGTCATGCTGGAATGGATCGTACCATGTATGCCATCAAGCAACATTTTTCCTGGACAAACATGGACAAAGATATCTCGACTTATATACGATCTTGTCAAATTTGCCAAACTGCAAAAAACTTTGCACATAAAACACCATTCCGTTCAACTGGGATACCCACTCAATGCTTTGAGGACGTCAGCATTGATGTGGTGGGACCTGTTCCCACCAGCAATCGAGGTTACCGCTACATTCTAGTGACTCAAGATCGACTTTCTAGGTGGATTGTATTTTCCCCTATGAAAGAGGCATCAGCAGCAACCACAGCCCGACTTTTCATCAGCGACTGGGTCTGCCTATTTGGTGCTCCAAAAAGGATCCTCACGGATCGAGGAACGAATTTCATCAGTTCTGTTTTCCGAGACATGGCAAAATTTTTGGGTGCAAAAACCCACACAACCACCGCCTATCGCCCACAAGGAAATGGACAGAACGAAAGGGCTCACCGAGAACTACACGAGTATCTCGCAATTTATCTGGATCCTGAAAATCGAGCCTCTTGGGATGAACTCCTCAAATTTGCCGCCTGGGTACACAACTCAGCCAAGCATGAAGCACTCCAGATGTCACCTTTCGAACTTGTGACTGGAACAAAACCTCGCTTAAATTGGATCCCTCAATTTTTGGAACAAGGGCAAGATCAACGACAACATCTTACCAACCTACAAAACCTCAGGAAGAAAGCACAGTATGCTATCAGGAAAGCACAAGCAGCCTATTTGAAACGCCTCAACAAAACTCGACCAGGAAAACTATATGAAGTTGGAGACAAAGTGCTCATCAGGAGACATGAACAAGCCTCATACGTGGGACGAAAATGGTCACCCAAATACAAGGGCCCATATACAGTGATACAAATCATCAACCCTGTCGTCCTACGAGTCCAAGATGACGCCAACCCAACCTGGACTGACGTCATTCACACCAGTTATGTACGCCCATTCATCCAGCGTACCCCACAAATGGACCATCCCGATTTTGAGATCCTCCCTGTGGAACAACAATTGGATCCCCAACCTGCTGTGGACCTTCCACAACCGCCACAACAACCCACTCCTGTAATCAAGGAGGACCCTGATTTTTCTTTTGGCGCCGGTGATCCTACAGTCCACTCTACAACCTCTCCTGACGACATTTTTAATTCTGCTGACAACACTTTCTATGCTGACGCTGATGCTGACTATGCTGATTTCGCTGACCCTGTGAACTCTCCTACGGATTCTGCTACTATCATTCATCAGCACCCCTCATCAACTCCAAAATCAGGATTTTTGAAAACCCTGAAAGATGTGGCCCAAGGCGTCACCCAGGAATTTGGCCGGTTATTTAATCCTTCGCAAGGACAATATAACCTCCCTGACCTAACTGACGCACCTGCCTCATCTGGACCAGTGTTGCAGTCCCCTCAAACGCCTCATGACAACGACCGACGTTCCAGACCACTTACAAGAAATGCAGAACATCGACGACGCAGTCATGCGCCTGAACGAGCTCCGCAACAGTATCCTGAACAGCAAAATCTGGCCCACAGTGCTCCTCAACAACGACAGCAAAGCAGTCAAAATGAAGTCGAATTTTCTACCCCTATTCGGAGAAAATTACCAGCCCTGACAAGATTGGAGCGCGACCCCGCAGCTGTGGATCCATCAAGGATCCTCCCACAAAGAACAAGAAGCCAAGCCCGAACAGCAGCAGCCAGAGAAGCAGCACCCGTATCTGCCCGCACAAGGAGCCAACAAAGAAACGCTCCAAATGACGAATTAGAGTGATTTACTACCAGCATATTTAAATCACTCCATCTCAACCAGCAGAACCAGCCAGTTCACAGCCAAACTTTGAAGAGTGCACAGCTAAAATGTTTTTTATCCTTTTCCTGTGCCTCATCACCCCTCAATTTCATTTTGCTTTAGAAATCTCTGAAGTGAATTCTTCTGACAAAGGAACAGTAACCAATAGCGCAAGAACTAACAAGCATTCCCCTATACGAAATTTCCCAGGAAATGTGGGAATCACTCTAGAAGATCTTTTCCCTATCTGTGTTCCAACGAAATTTTGGACCATAGATACAAAAATAGATATTGGAACCCTGTACCAAAAAGCAAAGCAAATTTCTGATCTAACTCAAACCCTGATACAAAATCAGTTTCAAGCAGCCAACAATACGACGATGACTACGGTTCATTCTTTCGAAATTCTCTCTACCGCAAAAACCCATTTATCCGAAACCATCGAATATCTTGCTAGACAGAACAAAAAAGAGAAAACCCTTTCCAAGAAACCTGCCTATCTGAATCTGGTTCCAGTGGATACTCAAATATCCAAAAGGACAACGGCAGACATTTCTTTCTACTATCAAGCTGACAATAGTCGCATTTCCACTCTAGAAAAAATTCTGAAGAAAATCAAAATCCCTTTTCAAGAAACTACCGAGAACTGGATAGATTTACTCAGTCTCAGTACTGAGATATCCAACCTGGCTTTGACTTTCCAGAACCTTCTAGAAGACCTACAAGCAATTTCCCGCTTCCAATATCCCACTAGAATATTTTCTGACTCAGAAATCTCCAGTGCTTTAAAAACCATACTATCTGCTGAGGACGCCTCATCATCCTCACTGGTAAGCAGAAAAGAATTGTTTTCATTGCTTCAAGCAAACCCGTTAACATTTGGTCATTTATACCAATGTGACGCAGGACTGACCAGCAACGACTCTTGTTTTTTCCAAATATCTCTCATAGTCCCAATCTTGAGACAAAAGGACCAATATATGTTCTTCAAGGTTCATTCCTTACCTATCGCAAGAGATACCTACTTAGGATCTCCCAAATGGGAAAAAGCGATATTGAAATATCCTTACTTATTATCCCAAGGCGAAAACTACTTTGGGATAAAAGAAAAAGAGTTTCCCATTTGCCTAACCCCTTTTAATTTCATCAACTGTCGAATCTGTCGATTTAACTATCCTTTGACTCAAAACACAGACCCCTGTGTGCAGACAATTCAACAAGGAGAACATGAGGAAGAAATCAAAAAACAATGTCCATTGGCACCTACCCAAAATCCTGAGAATTTAGTGGTTCAATTAGATACTGATGAGTTCGCCTTTATCGATTCAGACAAAGGGAGAATTACTCAATATTGTGCTGCCTCTGAATTGAACAAAACATCTGCAACCGAAAATACATACGAATTACCTTACTCAGGTATTCTCTATTTTAAACCAAATTGCAGATATACAGTAGTAAATGGCCCTTTCAAAGCATCAGTACCTCAGCTTAACAATGTTGAAATCAACATTGTGGAAGAAATCCCCTCTGATCTTTCTCAACGAAATCTGCTGAAAGATGATTTAACTTCCCTACAAATTCATTTCCAAAGCCATGGATATATTTATATGATTACCTCCTCTATTTTATCATGTCTGATTTTTGTCTGTGTTTCCTATTTCTGCTATGCAAAAATTCGTTTTGTTCTCCAACAAAGAAGACAGAGAGAAAGTACCCCAGAACCAAGGGCAACCACTATTTTTACCAACCGAAGGAACGCCCTCTATCCCAAGCTAGAAATGGTCATGAACCCGACCACTGGTGTCCTTTCTATAGTTTAAACTATTTAGATTGTTTTTCATATTTTTTATTTCAGTATCTTTCTGGTTTTGACCCAGACATCCAATTCCTTAGAAACCTTAGCCCGAAAGATCCAAACTATTTTTCTTACAATTTGTCCCTGTGTGTGTATTTTCGAAGGTTACCTAAAAAAGATGCAATTCCCTATTTTTATCCCATTTTTTACACCCTGTGCAAAAGACTAAAATCTTACTTTGTTGCTTGTATTTTTGATCTTTTACAAGTAAAAAGTACAACCAGATTTTCGTTTTTACAAAGCTTTTATTTTCGGACCATACAAAAAAGTATCAACGACAAGGCGCAAATTAAAAAGAACTTTTTCGGTAACAACGAGAAAAGTCAAGGGCGCCGTACAAAAAAGCACAACCGATTCACCACATTTTTCTTGATTATTTTTGCCGACCGTTTTTCCTATGTACAAAAACAAAAATTTCTAACCGAGACCGTACCGCATCGAAAAAAGTAACCACCGAAAAAACACAACATTTTTATGCCCAGAAAGCTGAGCATCGAGGATCTTCTGCTTCCACGTTTTCCGTGTTGAGCTCCAGAAGATCCCCGGTTGAGGTAACTTGCGTTTCACCTCCTTCTTCAGAAGCTGTGGCTGTTGTAGGACGCACAGCTGTTAGGAGGCCCATCCATCTCGCAGCTCGTTGAATGGAATGCCACTGGAAAATACAAAACCGAAAATTGCATTAGTCTTCAATTCCTAATTTTCCTTTTTGGTTTGAAGAATATTTACCCTCTCCAAAAGATGTACTGGTCATGCTCTCAAAATTTCGAACGAAAGCATCTACATCTTCTTCGATTTCATCAAAATTTATGGGAGGCAATTCTGCCTCTGCTACCCCTTGATCCCCCTCTTGTTTCTAAAAAAGAAGAAATAGAAAAATTTCTCCTTTAAGGCTAATTCCCTTGAGACTAATTTCTTTCACTCTTCTCTAGAAAATCTTCTTGAACTAAGAAAGAGGTCCTTGAAATATTTACTCACCTTCAAGTAGAACTGTCGAGCCATCCAAGCCAAAAACACCAGGATCGAAATGACCCCAGATCCTCCGCAAGCCACAATTAAAAACTTCATGGCTGTCTCTCCACTGATGCTCGCCTCCAGTTGCCCATCCTTGACCCGAATGGTCACTTCAGGAACCACTGTAGGCATAGCTGCAAGGATCTCCTTATCCTTGGCAGCTGCGGAATGACGAATCACTGCCTCTGTCGTGATTGTCGTCACTTGAGACACCCTCGACACGGATGTCATCGTTGAACTTGTGGCTATGATCATGCTCTCAAAATTTCGAACGAAAGCATCTACATCTTCTTCGATCTCATCAAAATTTATGGGAGGCAATTCTGCCTCTGCTACCCCTTGATCCCCCTCTTGTTTCTAAAAAAGAAGAAATAGAAAAATTTCTCCTTTAAGGCTAATTTTCTTGAGACTAATTTCTTTCATTCTTCTCTAGAAAATCTTCTTGAACTAAGAAAGAGGCCCTTGAAATATTTACTCACCTTCAAGTAGAACTGTCGAGCCATCCAGGCCAAAAACACCAGGATCGAAACGACCCCAGATCCTCCGCAAGCCACAATCAAAAACTTCATGGCTGTCTCGCCACTGATGCTCGCCTCCAGTTGTCCATCCTTGACCCGAATGGTCACTTCAGGAACCACAGTAGGCATAGCTGCAAGGATCTCCTTATCCTTGGCAGCTGCGGAATGACGAATCACTGCCTCTGTCGTGATTGTCGTCACTTGAGACACCCTCGACACGGATGTCATCGTTGAACTTGTGGCTATGAAAGAAAAGAAACAAGAAAGAAAATTTTCATCATTCACTTTTTCTTTAAACTAATTTTTTGGCTGGCCTGTGAAAGAGAAAAACAACAACAAAATTGCTGAGAGAACTTACTTGGTGGAGTTGAGCTCCTGACGCTGTCCAGACAAAATTCCCAAGGAGTGACAACATTGTCTAACCCCTCTCGACGCCCAAAGCACGTCACCGGTTGCAGCAGCTGCACCACCTGAGGAGGTCACGGACACAAGTGAAAACAACGAACAACTTTTTCACCTGTGAGCAGCAACCTCACCTTCAACCGCCGCAGACGAACACAATCCAAGAACAAGTCCTTGCCATTAAAAATGACGCGACGACCATAGTCCAACGCCATGATGACGTCGTCTCCGCACATATCGTCGCAGACAACGCCATCTCCCTCGAGGACACAGGTACTCCAAGTACCCATCACCACAAGGGAAAGCAGAAGGATCACCTGGAACGACTAATAAACAGACAAATAATCAGTTGAACATTTCAACTCATTGTTTGTCCGCTTACCTTCATTTTTGATTGAAGATATTTTTTTTGGTACTGCAAAATTTATTCGCGATATTGTATTTTATTTTTTTTGAAACTATGTATATCGAGAGGCGCGAAGATCTTTCTTTACAAACTACTTTACACCAAAGAACCTGTGAAACAGCAAACCGAAACGAAAACCCAAGACTTTACTTTAAAGAAGAAAAAATTTCGTAGGGTTATCAGCTCACCAAAAGATTCGTGTCGACAGCTCCGACTGTCGATTGGCACTGAAGACCTCAGGTTCGATTTTCTGTCCTGAAGAAGGCTTGACTCAGAGAAACCGTCGTAAAACAAGACCTTGAGAACGATTGGTTTTTTCTCTTTGTCGTTTTTCGAAAACACTCGCACTTGTGAGAATCGGGCACTTCAAAGCACTTGACAATAACAAAGATTTTGTCGACGCCAAGTCGGCACCTGTCAAGCTTTTCCTCTGTCGAAGCCCTGATTTGTTACCAAGAAAAACGATGGAACCTGTTTTTATTTTTGCCTAGCGTGAGTTTGTAACCCAGAAACCGAATTGCGATTATTTTCTTTTCTCCATATATGGAGGGAGATCCTTCTCTACAAGGTATCCGTTTCCTTGCAGCTGTTCCCCTTTTGTTTTGGTTCCCCCTCTCTCACGTTCTGTAACCCAGAAACCGAATTGCGATTATTTTCTTTTCTCCATATATGGAGGGAGATCCTTCTCTACAAGGTATCCGTTTCCTTGCAGCTGTTCCCCTTTTGTTTTGGTTCCCCCTCTCTCACGTCGGCCCGCATTAATGCGTGACGGTCGTTATTGCGCGTTTCTCCTTTTCAACTTGCTATTTGTCGACAGTGACAAATGACTTGCACTGCCTTCTTCTAAACTGCTAATTTAGAAGAAGCCTATTCCGCCGAACTCGCGAGTGTATATATTTTATTTATATTTATAATCGTTTCTCCTTTTCAACTTGCTATTTGTCGACAGTGACAAATGACTTGCACTGCCTTCTTCTAAACTGCTAATTTAGAAGAAGCCTATTCCACCAAACTCGCGAGTGTATATATTTTATTTATATTTATAATATATACCCGGAGATACCCGGATATTTGTATTCATCAAGAGTGTTCAGGGAACCCGCAGTTCCTCAATCTCGGCGAATATTTTGCCTCCATATTCTATGTTTCCAGGAAGGTATAAATACACTTTCCTTCCCACATATTTCCTCAGAATTAATCTAGAATCATTCGCGGTTATTTCTCAGAGAGACTTGCAGAACGTTTTTAGCAAGACTCTCTTAAAGCTCTCTATTTTTGTGTTTGTGAGATTGTACGAATACTTGTGGATTGAATATATTTGAAACATATATTTTTTATTGAACTTGAACATTTATTTATACCTCGGTTTATGGACAACAATTTTCTCGGAGATTGTCCTAAGTAATTAGACCAAATATCGCAGTCCCGCAGAATGCCTTAATTTTCAATATTTAAACACTTCAGCATCTTTGATTCAATCAGCCTGATAAAAAAGCCGAAGAAACTGAAGAAATTTGACTCTAAGTTTTCGCGAATCAATTCAAGTTGATCACGAAACTATCGTGCGAAAACGAACGGCGAGCCAAAAAGCTGATCCTTCGCGGAATTTTTCTCAGATGCTCAGAGCAAAAGACGCAACAAGTGAGCCCGAAGTGCGAACAGGTATTCAAAGATTGTTCCTTCACTATGAAGCTCGGCGGAATGTTCGGAATTCGAACTAATAGACTGAAGATTACTCGGGAGGTTCAAGGAAGTAACGAGAACGACAGACTTCCGACAGTTTTAGCTGCAGAACAATGGAAGAAGCTGCGGAAAAGATGCCCGAACGTGCCGACACTTGCACTGTAGAAGGAAACGTTATCTTTTTCTCCGCGAACAATTCCGTGGAAAAAAAATGTAATTTTTTTTCCATTTTAATTGAGGATTCTTCTGCACTCTAATCATGCAATTTTCTTCTTCGAGTATTTTTTCAATAATCTGTTCGAATCTACAGCCATCATGATGGTAGCATATTCCCAGCGCATTCCCCGAGTTTCAAAGCACACTACAGTATTCAAAAGCAATACTAAGCGGTTATACTGTACACTTGTACAGTATAAGTCAGTACTTATATTAGTGATTCTATCGAATAGTAAAAATATTCATCTTTTGACGCACTGCTTAGATGCATGTTTTTGTTTGAGGGAAAGAGTGCCACAGATGCACAACGTCAGTAGATCTAGGACTATTTTAAGCCCAGCAATGATAAGTTAATCCAGGCTCTGGAAGCAAATGCTGGCGAAGTGCTTTTCATTGTTGGAATTTGTATGTCGCGATTCACGAAAAAAAGCAATCTTCCAAAGAATCTTTCAGACTCCCGCCCTTTTTTTCATGTTACAAGATACAGTACCGTATTTCCAGACTCATTCAGCAATACCAGCATTGTCATGACGACAGGCATTGCGTGGATTTATCCATTGAGAATTTCAATTAGAGTGACATCTATGTATTTAAAGCTAACTAAATCATTTTATTCCTTTTTTTTGAATGAAGAAGCCGCTGAAACAAACAAATCATAGCATCAGCAGTTGCAGCCCCCATCACATGTTTCCAATAAGTTATTATAGGGACATTCGGCTACTTTAATCGCCACTTCATGAGATTTATGCACATTATCGTTAAGATACATGATATAATATATCATGCATCATATCCTTCCGACTTGCTGGTATATATTCATGCAGCCAGACCAGCAGTTCTTGACTTCTTATACGCTGTGGCTAAATGTTTCACACATTTAAATCAAAAGTAGCGAAAAAACATAAAAATTACTGTCTTATATACTATGTATGTACTGTATATGTTCTGACCTGAGCACTGATTTATGCTGAGATGCAGTAAAAGCAAATACTGTACTGTACTGTAATTTTCATTTACTGTACTGTACTGTAATTTGCATATGCTGTACTGTACTGTAATTTACATATATATGTACTGTACTGTACTGTACTGTAATTTACATATACTACCGTAATGTAATTTACATAAACTGTATTGTATATATTTGTACAGTACAGTATTTATTTTTGATGATATTTGCAGCAAATGACTTACTTTATCCAAGAAAATATGCAATGAATCCTCGGACTCTGTCATAAATTCGCAAAGAAGAAATGCACTGGAAAAAACTTCGAATGGTTGTACTGCATCTCAGCATAATAAATCAGAACCATTTTCGCCCCCATAGTATAGAATTATCGACCATCAGCGACTTAACAGGGAACTTTCTTTGTGTACTGTACCAATTGTTTTGTATGCGGCATTAAGTTCTGAAATTCACATATACGCAAGAAACAGCTGTTGTGCATCTGAAAACTGTTGTGTACAGATATTTCAATCTTCTGAACGTTTCCCCTTAGTTTCGTGTCAGCAACAATGGTACGCGCGTGACGTGTCCTTAATTGAGCGCATACGTATATACTGCCTGTCATCAGATCACCACGCCCGGACATACTCGAATGCGTTACACTCTCACACATATGAAATAACCTGCACAAGCAGGTGGCCATGCATGCAGCTGAATGGATGAGCATTTAATTTGCTGTAGCCAGGTTTTTTTTGTTTTTTGTTTGTTTTTGTTTTACGAAAAGAAGCTTCGTATAGTATAGAAGCTACTCATAAGCAATACAAATTCTTAAGCAATACAAAAAAGCAAAGTTTGCGAAAAAGCATGTTTTAGTTGGAGGTTGACCCGGCGCTATGCAGTTAAAAGTACAGTACTGTATTGGCATGTACGCGGTATATTTGGTGGGTGTGTATCTTCCATGCAATAGACTTGCCCGATCAATTCATAGTCGAGCTTCAATTGAAATACAGTCAGTTGAAATGGTTCATTTGACACTGAGATTAGGGAGGTCATTCAGGTCAACCATCGATGACATCTGTGTGAACTTCTGAAAGGCAAAGCAAAAAAAAAAAAAAAACCGGAATAAATATTGCACAAATAAACGAGTTTTTTTAATGGAACAAAATTGAATTTCTCCTGAAAGGCTATTCATTTGCTGTACCATTATATGCAGGATATCTGAACAACTCAGAAATACTTATTTTTATTTCAATTTAGCAGACCAAATACAGTTGAGTACTGTACTGTACATCAGTAGTTTTCCTTCGTGAAAAGCTCTTCTTTATACTGTACTGTATTAGCAGTTCCCGGCATGCAGTGTTACTACGTTGCTGTTGGACGATTCATTCGTTTTGTCGCCCATAGATGTCACAAATGTAGTGTCATGGCGGCGCTATTGAATGCCAGCTGGGTCGTGGTAAGTGCATTAGCGCCCTAGAAATCGAGAGGAGGTGATTCTGATTTGTGCACGCATGAAGTGTTTTAGCATTATGAGACATTGCTTGTGCTTCTAAACCATAACCTAACAATTTTTCCACCAGGAACTTTAGGCGCTCTTTGAGAGCTTTGCTTTCGGGAGTGACTATGTGCTGAATATCTTGCTTATCATCCCGGGGCCGGTGTTGTAGCCCATACGTGCTTGGTGTTCTCCGAAGTTTGGTCTTCGAAACGACAATATGAATTTTATCAGTGTGACTTAGATGAAACTGTGGGTAGATGGTGGAAATCTTCGCCGGGGAATCGGCGGTAACATCTTGATTGTTCCGTAATTTCTTTGCTGTTGGGAGTTCCAACGCTCTACCTACATCAATGCCGAAGGATTTACTAGCCGTCGATGAAGCTATTGAAATGAAGGAGGAAGCGTCGGCTCATAACCGACGGGTTTCCAGGATGAGTAATCAGCCGCCTCCACGAACTAATAATCAGCACTCGGCTCGACAACAAGGCGCTTCGGGTACGACGCAGCAATCAGGAGTGTTGATGGTTGGCCCGAATTTCCGAGTTGGAAAGAAAATTGGTTGTGGCAATTTTGGTGAACTGCGACTCGGAAGGAATCTGTACACAAACGAACATGTCGCAGTGAAGTTGGAAGCCATGCGCTCGAAGGCGCCACAGTTACACCTGGAATACCGTTTCTACCGAATGCTGGGTTGCCATGGCAAGTGTGCTCTACATTTCTCAACGCCGATAATCTCATTTTTATATCTCAATCCTGTATGTTCAGAGGGAGTCCCGGAGGTTTATTACTTCGGACCCTGTGGCAAGTACAATGCTTTAGTCATGGAACTTCTGGGACCCAGTTTGGAGGATCTATTCGACATGTGCCGGAGGAAATTCGCTTTGAAAACCGTGCTTCTGATAGCAATCCAGTTGGTAAGTGGAAATTACATTATTAATAGACGATGCGGTTGCGTGATTGATTCATGAACACCTGTGTGTTTTTCGCTTATTATGCACTTTTCTCTGTCACGCTTTCCGCAGCTCCACCGCATCGAGTACGTGCATTCCAAACATTTGATTTACCGAGATGTGAAACCCGAAAATTTTTTGATTGGCCGTTCCTCAACTGCTAAGGAAAAGACGATTCACATCATAGGTATGTAAAATGATCGGGGATCGTTCAACGGATAGATTTAGTCTATTTCGGTTTCAGATTTTGGACTGGCGAAGGAGTACATTGATGGTGAAACAAATCGTCATATTCCGTACCGCGAGCATAAATCGTTGACGGGTACTGCGAGGTATATTTTCGCAGCTTCTTTCGTGTGAAAATTTGATGTAGAATATAATTTTCCTGAAGGTACATGAGCATCAACACGCATCTGGGAAGAGAACAAAGTCGACGAGATGATTTAGAAGCTCTTGGGCATATGTTCATGTATTTCCTTCGCGGAAGTTTGCCTTGGCAAGGACTCCGAGCGGAAACTTTGAAAGAACGATACCAGAAAATTGGTGATACAAAACGTGCCACGCCGATCGAGGAACTTTGCGATGGCCATCCAGGTGAGTCCTCTTTCTAAGTGCGACGAGAAGCAGTGTACATTATTCCTAAGCTCGCAGAGGAAATGGCCACCTATCTGCGCTATGTGAGGAGGCTGGATTTCTTCGAAACTCCAGATTATGAATATTTGCGGAGGCTGTTCCAGGACCTGTTCGAACGAAAGGGATTCATTGAGGATGGAGAATTCGAATGGACTGGCAAGACTTCGGTGAGTTCTAGCTTTCGTGAGAGCTTTCATTCATGAAATCTTACGATATTCATAAGAGAAACTCACTTTGTGTGCAGCTTAACGCGAAATTAATGATGATGTTGAAGAGAGCGGTGCCAACGACTAATAAGAGGTCGTGGTCTGAAGAGGTACTTGGTAATCTTACGAAATTTTTCACTTACGGTATATCCAACACAAGTGATCATCAAGTGGATCTTCGTAGTGGTAATAGAAGTATTTATCACGCACTTATTGAACCATAGATCCTTTCGGCTTTACTATCTCGCTATTTTTTTTTCGAGCAAATGCTCACGTTCGTTTTAAAAATTACAGAGCACACCTGTCGGATCTCAGCAGACAACGATGCAAGAAGTTATCGTGTCTCCGAACCGTGATAGGCACCCGACGGCGGCTAAGGTCAGTTGCAATGCTTCCGTTCACTCCTCCGAAGTACTGTATATTAATTCAGACGTCTTCATTAAGTTTTTCTGTGTTGGGGTTGCTTGCTCGGAGAGGCGCGTTTCTTTGAACCGATTTCATCCACATTTTGCGAGTGCATAATCGATTAGCGTTGGTTTTCTTAGTCCTTCTGCCGACGTCCATGGCACCCAGGGAAACAGTACATATTCCGCAGTAGAACATTTATTCATTGAGTTCACGCGATTTCGACGGCTATTCGGTGACTCTTCTTGGTTTCACCCGAATGGAATGTACTGTATTACAACGTAGACATACTTCTACAATTCTTTATCATATGGTACGCGTATATTTTATTGAAATAAATCCGCTTCAAGCTTTCGTCCACCCGCGTTCACGCGGGTTCACGCGATTTCAACGCGGGTTCACGCCTTTTGCTTAAATCGCACAGTTTTAAAATACTGTTCATTATGAGATGCATGTGACTGGGTCGCAGAGTTCTATGCAAATGGTGATCAGAGAGGCGTCATGAGATTACAGTGCTAACAATCTGCTAATCCAGTATAAGCTCAACGTTCACTGGCATTCCTTTTTCATATTCAATTGCAGTGGTAGATAGGTATGGCCTTGCGTCGATTTTGTAAGGCGTGGATATTTCGGAGTTTCGTTGATTCGTTTTCCACTTCCCTGGCTTGAGTTGTGTGCGCTGTTTTCAATTTGTCACGTGATTTGTATTCTTTTTCCACTTTCACGTGCTCCTTCGCACCCGAAAACACCGGCGGGACCTAAACGGATCGCTTCGACCCACAAACTAAAAACTTCGCATGATCTTGCATAACTTTCTCCACCGCATGTTGTTGGGTCTACCCGTGTGATTTTTAAAATCGCCGGGACCGAATTTGACCATCCAGGACAGGGCAAGAGGCTCTGCGTGGCCGGATCCGCTGAGACCTGTGCCCTGTGCAGCCGCTACTAATCCTTCGACTGCTGATCATCACCCCTCAGTTCAGGTAAGATTCTTCCAGTGACGACGTACTGTTATTCAGTTCCAGGAAGAATAAAGGTAGCTTCAAAAGCGGTTCAAATAGCTGCGAGCTATCTCTGGAGCGTCGAATTGGCCCCGGGTGATTTTAAAAGCCTCACCAAAGTGATGTACTTAGATTTCTCGCATGGGTACAGTATTTACTTCTCAGTAGTTTTCCTTGTTTGTAAGATAACACTTGATCACGGAATGGATCAGGAGGTTTGGTGCACTTTTAAGATACCGATGTTCACTTGCAAGGGGCTATCAATTTTTAACGAATTTGATTTATTAATTGCATCTTTGATTCATTTGTTCAGGTTGTTAGCTCTCAGAATGGCGACCACCCGAGTGTTGGTCCTGCTGGTCATTCAAGTACGCCTATTACACCTCCAGAACCGGTGACATCTGAAGACGAAAAGTAAATAATGCTTATTGTCAGAACCGCAGTACCCGCGTACATTCTATGTTTACTTTTTTAAGGTGCTGCTGCTTCTTCAAGAAAAAGAAAAAGAAAAAATCCAGCAAAAGAGTCTTGAAGCATTGAAATTCAACTTTTTTGCAAGTCGGCTCCACCTAGGCAAACGTGTGCTCGGAGATGGATGGTAATATTCGCCACATCCTTCGGTCGTTCTTTTAAGGTGTTTTTTTTTTTCGATCCCATTTCGTATGTCTTCGAACTTCGTGTAACGCGTATCATGTCCGTGCAAACTAGCAGTGCTTTTCGAAGGAGGCTAATCGTTAGGGTGGACGCGTCAGGCTAGCAGAGCGTAAGAATATTTTGAACAGAAGTTGATCGTTGAATTTTTAAAGTAAGATTCTAGATGAAGGTTACTCAAACTTTCATTTCTCTTCAGTCTATTCTTGATGATGGTTTTTACACGTGATTTGTAAAAATGGCGGAGAATTTTCATCGCTTTTTTTCTAAATCTAATCGCGAGAAAACGTCAATTTCCCGCTCGCGCTTTTTCGTCAGTATTCCATACCGGACACGATGCGAAATCTTTACTATAGCTGGCATTTTGCGGTGAGTCGGAGCCACTATTCAATGTAGCATTGATCGTGGATGGGTTGAAAACAGGAAATTTTTCAACCATTGGGGAGGCGCTACGCGGTTTTATTGTGATGCATTTATTTTAGCCGTCTCGGAGGATTGGCGTTATTTTACGTTCTGCATTTGCCTCTGAGCCCAGCGACCATTTGATTCACCAGTAGGATTGACAAAAGCTTCGTGGAGATCCCAACTTCCGGTGGGATCTTCAAGAAAACTTAAATGACTCAAGCAAGGTGAATTGAATGAGTGTTAAAGTGCAGTTCCCCAGAATCGGCTCCGAATTGTGAATGATGCCGACTTCTGATTCCTTCCTTCTGTCCTCATTCGTTTTCTTCTTTCATGTGAATTTCGACGACCGTAACCATTGTGTTCATATTTCTTCGCCGGCCGAGGATAAGAAACCTGCAAAGTTTCAAGGGCCCGTCCGTCCCACGCTTTCCTTGGTTGGATTTGCATGTAAATCTGATTGAGTGCGTAAATGTTCAATTGTGGTTGTAAATTCTGAAAATTTAACGGCTGCCAGCGAGAATGAAAAGAGAATTTTGATGTTATTTTGTGTCCAAAAATGCTCGCTTCTTTTTTCCACGACTGCTTTCCTTTTTTCGTCAGAACTCAATTTTTCGTCGCAATGTCAGTGCGTGGTTTGATTTTTTTTGGCGAGCATCCTCAATAGAATGGGGTGACGAGCACCTGTGATAGTATCCCCGGGGAACTTTTTTGTTTTCTTAGGTTTGAAGCAGTTCCACCGAACATGACACGATTTCCTTTGCTGTTGGCCGGAATCTGTTCAAGTCGGGGACGTAACTCTCGAAGTCAAGTCGGCCATCTATTGAGGGAGTGCCATTCCGGGAACAAAACGATAGAATTCGTAGTGGTTGTATTGTACGTCATTGTGTAAGCGCGCTTAAAGTTCGACGTCAGGGTTTTCTTTGGTCGCGAATTTCAAGATTTCTTTGGACATGAATTGATCTGGTCTTGGTTGTCATGGGGGTTTCGAGCTCAAAACAATTTTACTACCCTTGAGATCATCCCCTTGTTCGTGCTGCGTAATTCCGGTTGTATATCTGTAAGGTCCCTTCGAATGAATTGAAGGTGACATGAAGAGCTCCAGTTTTGAAGGTTTAATCTTCCTAACGGGGTTATTGATGGATCCAGCGTACGTTTGCTTCCGAATCATTGATAACCGTTCATTGACTTCTCGCGGTACTTGTATCGGTGGCTCAGATTTGAGTGCTCTTTTTTGTCGGGCGCGTTTCAACTCAAATGGTGATTATTTGACGAAACCCCGGCAGTTGTGACTTTTCTTTTTATGTGGATCGGAGACCAGTCGGTTTTGTGGAAGATGAAATCGAGAGAAAGAAGAACCCCGAGGACAACTGATTGCGTGAGTTCAATGGTTGGTGATGGGTATAATTTCACTCCTCTTCTACTTTCATCTAAGACTTGATAGAAGTCGAATGATCAGGTTGGTCCGTCAAATTGATGGAATGCCTGGTTGGGTTTTTTGGTCTGTTTATCATCGGAAAGCGGTTTGGTTGTAATGCATATTTTTTCGTGGGTAGTATCCAACCTCGGAAATGAGCTGGAATCGAGATAACTCGAGAATCTACTTGTGAAAGATGAGTCTGGCATTCGGTATTTTTTTATGCGTGTCGGTTAAATTTTTTCTGAGTTTTCCTGAGCATCATTCCGTTGCTCTAGCATACCATAACTGGAGCTTGTGTGAACGCCACTTGCATTTGACTGTCGGCTTGTTGATCATGACTACCAAACGCCCTCCGCGGAGCCTCCGAAGCGTTTCGAAGTTGTGGACGCTATCTCCTGTATAATGCCTGGAAATGAGGGAGATGCATCCAGAAAATAAATTCGAGTGCACCCTTGTTTATCGTCGCTGTGTGGGCTGTGCCACCGGTGCGCTGTCTTGGTTCTGCATCACGGGTAATTGACTGGTATTCTAGGCGACATGGAACCCTAAGCGAATGCCCTGTGCACGGCTCCATTTTTTAAACTATAATTGCTGAATAAATAAGTTTTTGGAGAGCTTCATTCTGAGAAATTTGCCTCTTCTCAATGTGTTGTTTCTGGTGTTGACCACTTCGTTCTGGTTTTTTGTTGCAGGACAAGAGAACTGTCTTAAAACTGAAACCATTGTGCGCTGTTGGTGTTCGGTATATATTACGGTCCTCGATTCGGATGCGCCCAGTAGCGAAGTTGGATTGTATAAATCGTCGATTCTTCATGCCTTAAAAAATCTTCGTATCTGTGTGAAACATCCTCCTGAAAAAACTAACCAATGTCGATTTCCTGACGAAAAAAAAAATTCTTTTGTCCGGTCGAAATCCACCCATTCCCATGCAGATGACCTGCTTCATTATTTTCTTCTGTACGTACATCGTTTCGGAATTTTCATGACCTTAGATCATTTAATATGCGCTATATTTTGTTTCCGAAAACTCGTACTTTGTTTCATTTAACCTTCATCAGCCTTCATTACATTTTCTGCGTTTGATATTTTCACCGAATTTCTGATCGGGACATTCGTTCCGCCGTTCTGTATCCGTTATTATTTCTCACCCTCTTTCGTATCTATATGTATCTGCCCTTATTCCGTGGCGAAGCACAAACGTCGCATTAGTATGAATACACGATCACGTAGCGCGTGCTATTTCGCAAGAATATTTTATTCGCATTCTGGTAGTTCGGTAACTTCAGTATTTTCACGGTTTTCTGGTTTCATTGCACTTACTATACTTGTAAATCGGGTTTAGGAATTTTCTCAGCTAGTTACGAACATTTTTTTTACAACGGAAGTGTGTACCAACGTCGTACATGTTTTTTATTCATTTTGTATCTTGATAGCTACCTTTTCATTGTTTGCATCTCGTTCGCTTTATCCTGATGCGTCACTTAAATTTTTCGCATTGAGTGGGACGTCATGCGTTCAGTTACCGCTGAGTTGCACAATTCAGATCATATGTCTCAGACGAGGGTTATTTTCGCTGCCTTGTGCTTGCGTCATACTGCGTCTTAAAATGCATCTGGTTAATGCGCAGTATAACGAGGGGTTGCCTCTTTGCGAGCGATGCAATTCACAAATGCTCTCTGTTCCTCTCTTGCTTTGAGTGTGAGGACTAATGCGGTGATCGTAGTCGCATTTTTTGCATATTTTCAATGTTGACTTTCATGAGTTCAGTATTTTTCTTTACGTGAAGTTATTTTTCTCGTGGACCTCAGGTTGTCATTGCGCTGAAGGCAATTCATATCAGTTCCTGAAAGTTAGGCCGCTGAAGTGAATTTGTCTGCCATGTCGGACGCTGTGTTGAATGGTGAACTGCGCAGAACCACCGATGTGGGAAATTCGGATGAGCCGAAGCGGAAGCGGAGCATTGATCAAACCTACATCAACAAGGTTGCAGTCGTTCTTGGGGCGCAGTGGGGTGATGAAGGGAAAGGGAAGTTAGTGGATTTACTCTCGTCGACTTCTGACATCGTGTGCCGTTGCCAAGGAGGCAATAACGCTGGCCATACGATCGTCGTTGACGATACAGTTTACGATTTTCACCTGTTGCCGTCTGGAATTATTCACCGTCAGTGTTTGTCCGTGATCGGAAACGGTGTTGTTGTTCACCTTCCCGGTCTCTTCGATGAAATCACCCACAACGAAGGACAAGGGGGAGATTTGAAAGGCTGGGAGAATCGATTGATCATTTCGGAACGTGCGCATCTTGTTTTCGATTTCCATCAGGCTGTTGATGGACTCTTGGATTCAGGAAAAGGTGGCATTGGGACGACTCGTAAAGGCATCGGACCTACGTACTCCTCTAAAGCATCTCGAAGTGGCATTCGAGTTGCCGACCTGCTCGGAGACTTCAGTTGGTTTTCGGAACGGTTTAGAGCCCTTGCTACTCTACATCAGCGTCTTTTCCCTGGTTTGGAGATCAACGTTGAAGAAGAGATCGAGCGTTATCGTGATTTTGCAGAGAGACTCCGTCCACTTGTTCGAGACACGGTTACATTGTTGCACGATGCACTCAAGGAGGGAAAATCTGTTCTCATTGAAGGCGCAAATGCTGTTATGTTGGATATTGATTTCGGGACGTATCCTTTTGTCACATCTTCGAATTGCAGTATTGGTGGAGTGTTGACTGGCCTTGGAATTCCTCCTCGTTCAATCGGTTCGGTTTATGGAGTGGTGAAAGCTTACACAACACGGGTCGGTGATGGTCCCATGCCCACAGAATTGTTCTGCGACGTCGGGAAATACTTACAACAAAAGGGCGGTGAAGTTGGTGTCACAACTGGTCGGGCTCGCCGCTGCGGCTGGCTTGACGTAGTCGTTCTTCGTTATTCGAATCTCGTCAATGGTTACTCAGCAATCGCTCTCACGAAGCTTGATATCCTTGATGAGCTTTCCGAAATAAAAATCGGAGTTGCGTATTGGAAAGATGGAAAGAAGTTGGAGACTTTTCCTGCGGATTCAGCCCGTTTTCTGCGTGAAGTTGAGGTTGAGTACATAACGATGCCCGGTTGGAAGCAGTCCATCAATGCGTGTCGCACCTTCGAAAATCTTCCGGAAAACGCCCAGAAATTTGTCCTGACGGTGGAAGAATTACTCGGCGTTCCGATCAAGTGGCTTGGGGTTGGGAAGGACCGTAAAGCCATGATTCAGTTGTTCTGAGCTGTGGCCTGACGCAGAAAATGTTAGTGAGCACACATTTAGTTCAAAGCTGAGTGAGAGCACGAACGGAAATTTTCAGAATACATTTTCAATGATAAACTTTCGTGGGGTTTACAGCTTTGGTGTTTTGTGTGCTATGTTTTTCATCAGGAGAACATTCAATTCAGCCAATCACCGCAGTCCGACGTTTGGTTCACTTTCAACCCTGTTCGGGAGTGATTGTCCCCGTGAGCCACGATTTCATCCGATTGAAATCACTTAATTTTGTGCAATGCGATTTCTGAGCATATGTTTTCCAGTGCTCCCCTAGTAACGAATTTGCTTCATAGATGATTCATCTTCGGGGAGGTGATATGCCGAAGTACAGAAAAGCATTTCTGGGTCATTCAGTTTTCATGTTCAGATCTTTCTGATCCGTTTTGTCTTGAACAAGTGACGTGATGCATCCTACTTGCCCTTTCCTTTGCAGATTCCCCAATTTTCGAAGTGTAGAAAATCTGGAATGGTATAAATGGCGCCGAACAAAAAATACGACGTGGCTTTGATCTATCAAGTCACTGAAACGGAATTGAAAAAGGAATGGGACAATTACGAGACGAAACAACGATATGACACCGCATATGTCTGCAAGTGTGTATTTGGGGGGACCCTGGATTATCCAAAAATAATCTCAAAGGGATCCAAGGATATCATCGATTCGTGGGAGATGGTTGCATTAACCTCTCGAGAAGCGATGGAGCCAGTGAAACCGGGATCAACTCCTGTGAGCTCCTTTTTGATTCCGCAATATGCTTTTTTTCTAATGCATCTATGAAGAATGATTTAACGTGTCTGTGCTTCATACGAAAAGGACGTACAGTATTTCGATGCATGTTTCCGTGGACTTGGCTTTATTTTGAACTGAGAAATATTGTACTGTTATGTTTTCACCTACTTCGGCGCACGCGGCGCTGTATTCATTTAAACTTGGACGCGGTAGCTTGTTTTATTTATTCGAGCTTCCTGCTTCAGAAGTTTCGTTTCATATTTTGAGTATTTGATTTTTCTTACGTTTCTTCTGTTCGTTCCCTATCAGAGACACCCATCTCGTGAAGCACTTACTCGTGAATGGGGATTTCAACGCACTCGCACGTAAGGGCTCAGGATTATCGGGAGTGTTCGCAGACGTTGGACTCGTTGATGCTTATACGAGTATATTTCTAGACTGAAGTGGTTGTACCCGAATTATTGCCTGGAAGCTTTGAAGCTGAATATGGAAAAGATGGTTGGTTGAAGAAGAAATTCGTCAAACCTTTGGAAGAAGCTTGCAAGTTGTTACACACGCACATCATGAAGATGAACGATGCCATCATGGAAGCGAAACGAATCCGGCATTTGTATGTTTTGATCAGTACGAGTGCCATCATCAGGAACCGGCTTTGGTTTTATTCGGAAAAAGTTGACAAAGAACATAATAAGCCGTAAGTGTATTTATTATGGTCCATTTGTTCCTGCGGATTTAGCACGGACTTTCTAATTAGGATACTCGATCAATATGCTCGCTTCCGATCTTTGGTCGAAATACTGCTGCACGAAGCCATGGATTATCACGCGAATTTATTGCAGAAGTGTGTTTTGATTGATCCACATGGCTTAGACTGGACGAACAACACGAAAAACGAAAAGCTGAGTGATCATGTCATCTTCTGGTGGTGTCATATGCGAGGTGAAAGCATTCCCGAAATCTGACTTGAATCTTTGAGAAACAAGGGTGTCCTCCTTTTTAGCTGTTCGAGCTGATCTGTGGCAAATTCTACCTCCTCGGTTGGCGCAAGATATATTTTCTGCTGCTTTAATGGAATCTCTTTCTCTCCTGTCTTTGCGATATTCTCAAACTTCTCCGAGCTTTGAACGGCTCACGGACTTCCGAGCGGATGTGATGGGTATCTTGCTCCTGAGCTCAGAAATGGTTCTTTCTATCTGTTCTTCTCTTCGAGAGTTGGTGGAAAATCCAGAGATTCAGCAGAAAGTCCCGTTTTGTATTGGATTGCGATGTCAACTGCTTTTGTTGGTGGCCACAGTCGTCGGGTGTCCGATTGATCTATTACAAACTGTAAGTAACTATTGAAGTACTGTGTGATACTATTTCTGCGATTTCACCGGGATATTCGTCACAGTTCATCAAGAAAACTAAAGGGAAGTTGGAACCGTTGTCTCATGAAGGAATGGGTATGTTTAAAAAAAAGTGTGCTGACTTGAATTCGTCAATGGAGTACTTTGTTTTATTTTTTCCAGATGAAGCCTCAGAACATTCCAATGAAGCTCGTACTATACAAACTCCACTAAATTTTTGGCTTACGGCCGTCCGTCCAGATCTGTATCCATCATCTCCTCACTACGCATCGTCGGGAAATCTGATCTCCTCCAGCGATCCTCCTCTTCCTCCGCAAGTGCTCTACTTCCAGATATCGTTTTTGGCTGCGCAGCCACGTCCACAGTGGCATTTGATACTCCAGGTATAGCAGCAGTACATAGAAGTCTCAAGAGTAACGTTGATCATTTTCGTAGTAACTGATCTGAATTAAAGCGACAAATATAAGTCCTGTTGAAGTTTCCATAAGCCTGACGTGTGAATTTCAAGTTCACGGTCCATTTTTATTCGTTCTCCTGTACCCATAGCAAGAAGGAGATTACTGCAATTTTCGGATATTCATGGGTTACGTTTGCAGGTATTAATTTCACAAGGCTTCGGAATTTCTGGGTGCCTTTACGCAAGTTTGGAACGCCAAGAGCCTACAGTGAAAGACTGGTATTCTCTGCAAGAAATTAAGGAATTGAATTATTGCAAGGGGTGCTTGTGTAGCTTATCCGGTTGTTGTAACGGAGAAAGCAAACTTACAACACAAGACATTTATTCTGCTCTCACTTACATCTTGGTTCATGTTGGTGGTTGCGATGACGACGTGCTTATGAAAACTATGCTTCCTGCCATTCGTAATAAGTTGGATATGCAGGTTTTTGATAAATCGCAGGTAAGAAAAGTATCCAAATAATTCAAGCACTTATTCAACTCAAGTCTCATCAGGTATGGAATGCCGTCAGGCCTCATTGGCTGCAAGCTCTTATATGGGTGATGGAACCGTACTTGGTGCCCGTGTTTCAAGATGCCATAGCGGAAGTCCGTCGTCTGTCTCATGTTGATGACGCATGTATGGAGACATTGATGAAGATAGTCTTGACGAATCTTCACGAAATAACCCTTCTGATTCCGGCAAGCGTCCGGAAATTCATCTGCGCATTGCAAACAACTTTAACGGCGTCAGCATTCTGTGGTCATTCTGTTAATCCCTTGTGTGGTAACATTTGCATTCATCTCTTGGTGAATGCGATTTTCACGCTTCCGATGGGATTGATTTGTTTGGGTGAATTTGAACCCGAGTTGGACAAAACTGAAGCCGGCATTATTTCAAATTTGAAGGAAACCCTTTGCCGCCTAAGTGAAGATGATCGAGAGATAACCTTCTCCAAGGAAATTGACAAGATTCGTAATGCATTCTCCGCTACTGATGAGAAGTACTGGCTAATTTTATCATAGAAAGAATCTTGAGAAGGATGTGCACGTTTGAATAGGTCTATGAATCAGGCGCATAAGTTCGCCATGCTGAAGAAGTTGGACGTTTGGTCATGCGGTGAAGAAGTGGCGCAAGTACTTGTGGCTCCGATTCTTGCTGAGTTACGAGGAAAGCAAGCATTACAGGCGAGGCGATTTCGCCTTTTTCTCTTTCTTTCCGTGGAACTTTCACTTGATGATCTTGTTTTCGAATACCTGTAGATCCTGCACAATACGTTGAGTGTGAATGTGAACTGGGCGAGGCAAATTCTGGGAATATCCCCACCATACATGATGGATCAGAATATTCAATCAAGCGGTGGGTTGGTGATTCCTTCCTGGGAACCTTTTCGATCTTTCAATCCTTTCGACGAGCATCGATTATTTCAAGGAATTGCATTCCATCAGGTATTATTTTCAGAGTCGCTCTTCGCGCGCACTGCGTCCTTCAAGTACGATTTTTTTTTTCCTTACGACAGGGCCAGTTGAGGGAGTATCCAATGAACTGGGATTTAGTTTTAGCTTTCGTCTTCACCCCGCTGAGCCGGAAGAATGCACAAACTTTGTTAAAACTGCGGCCCGAATTGAATTCGGACGAAAGCCTGTTGGACGAAGATACGAAGCGTTGCGTTGATTACTTGAAGCGTCATTACTGCATCGAGAATTTGTCGAAGACTGTTGTCTAATACCGTTCTGATGTCTTCGTGATCGCATTTGTTTTCGCCCGATTTTTAAACATGATACGTACGAAATGATTAAACAGTTTTCATCCCCTTTCGTGATTTCTTTCACATTCTTGATGACTTAGTGTATTCCAGGATCGATTTAATCAAAAACATCATCGAAGACCAGTGCTTTTCATTCTGCCAACGTTTTCCAATGTCGTTGCCATCGTGCGATTTTGTGCTGATCAGAGTTTGCGAAGACTGTTATGGTGAAGATTTTGAGATGTATAAATTTCTCATAATTTTCTATCGTGTTGGGCGAAGCAAGTCTTGTTCCTGCGTGTATAGCCACTGTGGTTGCTGTGATGGAGACCTACCTTACTGCTGAAAAGCAAGATTTTATAGTGCACCTGTGCTTCAAAGAAGTTACGAGTGCAAACTTGTTTTTTGAACTTCCCCCATTCCAGGAATTTTCGATAATTTTGACAAGTGAGTGGTGCCTTGTTGGAATAATGTCTCAGGAAGTACCTCCCTGGAAAAACAGAAATGGGACTCCTAGAAGGGGAAAAATTAGTCTTATCCATCTTGTTTTTCTATGAAAAATTCACTGTAATTTTACTTGAAAAATTAGGCCTCATCCTCGGAATTTTTTTTTTATGAGAAAAATATAGGTGAACATATGATCAATTGAACTTCCTCAAGTCGAATATGTCTATTTTGTTAAAATTTTTAAAAATCCTTTTCAGTCTTCCCCCAAGAAAAAAAATGCATCAGAAATCTCCCAAGCCCAAAAGGCTATCCTCAAACCTCCAAACTCAAATTAAGAAAAACAGTAAAAAGGTAACAATTTGTTTCAAAAGGAAGAGAAAGAATAATTGAGAAAATGAACCTATGCCTCCAAGTTCAGCATCCTAAATTAATCTAGAAGTAACTTAGGCCCCAAATTGCACCTCTTACATCATCTCATTTTTTCTACATTAAATTGTTTTCTTTCATTCCCTGAAACACTTCGCTTGTTTCTCTAACTCAAGACCTCCAGATCTTTTCATAGTCCCCTAAAATTTGACCAAAGGTTCATCTGTGTAAAACCTGCATGAGACTGAGCCAGGCTGCAATAACCTGTATAGAAAACAATTATTAGGTAATATCTAAATTCAAATATTCAAGGTAAAGAATCTTAACTAATCAAGTTACAAGTTTTGAATGAAGGAGAGCACAATATAAACTGTGCCCTATACCTATGCAATGTGGTTTGGGTTTTTCTTGTCCCTATTTATTACCAAGCTGAATTTTTTCTAATCTTGTTCTGGAAGCTCACTGGATAAAATCCTCTCACGAAGTTAGGGGAAATGACAAGAAATAAATCCTTCTATAACTAGCTGTGGAAATTCCTGGAGAAGGGTTAACAATGGATATATGTTAGACAGGTAATCAAGATTAAAGTGTATCTGTATAGAGCAGTATGGAAATTAAGGTTAATTCATGTCTCTTTTTTATAATTTTGATGGTCTATGATATGAAATGTACAGTGGTCCCGTGAGCAGTACAGCCCCAAGATATTCTGGTGCTGCGTAGGATGCATTCCGGTGCCGTTTTATTCAGATGAATTTCCCCCACGCGATCTCGACGTTGCGAAGTTGGGTTGCTTCTGCAACCACGATTCTTTGAAGGTTGGAATGCAATGGCGAAAGTTGTCGCAAATGAGCCTTCTCTGTGATCAGGGTTCGAGGTTGATGCTAGCGTTTCATGTTTGAGTTTCGTGTTCCTGGCGACGCGCTAGTGACCGTCGTTCTCCTCCGCGTATGGTTTTCCTTGTCCCGATCAATTGAACTGAAGTGTTGCCTTGCCTAATTTATGAAACCGCTTCCCTGTATGTGTCGGTCCCGATGAGCACATTTTCCGACTGGTGTTTGGCGAATAAGTGTGTCGCTGAATATAGTCATTCTAGATCGTTCGTGGAGTGTTATTTCATAAATCTGCCTGCTTGTCTCACGGGCCATTCATTGTAAACGTGCTTCTCACGTTGTTGTGCCACCGTAGTGCTGTTCTGCAAGTGTGTGTCTAACCTTGTGACTTGCGTTATTAATGATCCAGCCGTTGTAATTGGGCATGAGAGACTTGTAGTATTCTCGACGTGGTTGACCCTTACTTACCGCGATCGTTTTCATTCTTCTATCTGGATTCAGACCTTCTAATTCGTTTTGTAGGTCATGATAAATCTCAGCGTTGACAAGGAACGAGTGATTAAGAAAATTGCTCATGCATTTCGGATCAGAAGTCTCTTCGTATTTACCCCCGTACTTCCGATGGGGACGATGTGATAGCTTTCATGCTACGTCCTGAAGCGAATCTCGTTCGTCTCTACGGTTTCGTGCTTCTGAAATCAGCTAAGCCAATCAAATGACTATTGAGCAGAAGCATCAAAACATGGGGTGAGGAATGATGGTTTCATTATTATTCACTCATTTTGTGCAGTATGCCGTTGTATTCTTAGATCAAGTTCATGGTGTGTTTGACATTTATTTTTAGGAAGCCACTTTTCGCGATGCGTGGGTGGTCTAGAATAGTCACGATATAATCTTAATCGTCTAGCATCGTTTAAAAAAGTTTCTTAAGATCTTCATGAAAACTGACTTGACGTGCGGGTTGTGATTCGCTTCGGATTCGATTCGAGAATTTTGGGATATTAACGTAGGAAACTCATCGTGCATGGTTTACGGTGCGATCGTTCACGAACATGATGACGTACTTGACTAGTTCCGGTCATGGATGCAAAACTTGCAGAAGTTCCTTATATTTGTTCATATTTTGGAAAAATCGTCTGTAACACCGTTTCGCGTGAAGCTCTTTATTCGTGGCAGCGAGTCTGGTTCACTCGAATTGAAGCGTCTTTCGGGGACGATTTCCATCAGACATCTGAAGCATTTCATGCTTCGAGAACAAGTGTCAATTACTGATGACTTTTACTACAATACAGTACAGTACGTGTAATTACTACTTTGCAACTAATGTTAAACATATTCGGGCATTCAATTTTCTGGTTCGTGTGAAGATTGTGACACACATTATTCTAAACTAAGATCAAATATTACTGTGTAGCTGTGATTGTTCAGCTGTACTCCCTTTCTGATTGATTGGAGTGTTGGACTGCTGCTTCAGTAGCCACGCCGTAACGGCTAACATTCAGGTGCGAGCAGTTTTCTAGCGATCTACAGTACTTCAGACCACTTCTTGCTGGGATCCGCAGAGATTGCTTTGTCATTCCTGCAATTTTAGGGCTTAGAATTTTCGAGGGTACTCGCTGGTGCATTATTGAATTTAAACTTCCGCCAAGTAGCGGTGTATCGTTCCGTACGCTGTCGACGTAGTAATTTTTAAAGTTCGAGCTATTTATAGGTTCATTTTTATCTTGATGTGTCACGCGGATCACCTCGAGATCGACAGCCTGAATAATCCCAGACCCTCCATTTCTGTGCGCGAAGTTCCACCATTGCGCGTTCACTCAGCAAACGCTGACTTAGTTCTATCAGTGTCACTATAAAACTAGTGGCGAGGATCTGGAAGCCGTCCTGTGCTTGTGTGCTTGCAAGATTGCTGGTTTAACGTTTCCATCTGTTTTCTGTGGGTTACAATAAGTATTGCCGTGTGAAGCTGAACTTCAATTACCCTATGCGGGCTCGGATTAACGGAGGATGGAACAACCCTGCACCGATTTTGTCCTCTTTACGTGGCGTTCGTACGCGATGTGTAGTCAGTCGTTCATCAAAGGACATGTGTTCGATTTATATAGCTGATCGATGGTTGAATTGCTGAAGTGAATGTGCTGATGCTGCAATTTTTCATCCTCGCGAACGACGACCAGCGGGAAGCGAACAGTAATTTTCGGAAAGCTTCGAAGTTCATATTCATATTGTGCGAATTTTTGCGGTTTTTTTTTCAGTGACAACGCTCAATTTGGTTTCCCCTCTCCTACGGGAGCATTTTAAAGGAAATAAAGTAGCATTTACAATATGTTCAATTGATTTACGCGTCAAGTTAGGAAAATAAAATAAAATTTGACTGACGGGAAGCGCTGTTGTCAGCGTCTCTCCACGGGCGGAAAAAACAGATTTTCACGTCATGTGACTAGATAGAACTTGAGCGATGTCGTCACGTCGACTGAAAGCGCGTAGGATCGCACATATGAAGCATTTTATCACGAAATGGAACTTATCATGCGTCTTGGTGATGCCGCATCCAGTTAAAGTTATGCATAATACTGTAATGCTTTGCTCATTCAAAATACTGTACTGTATTCCCGAGTTCGATATCCTGCTTGCCTGGGCTTCATTTTTTGCCTGTCGTTTCATTGCGATATCACGGATAAACACGGATTTTCTTTCAGTTTTCGGAATCATCTCTGAAAAGTTGAATTGTAGCGTTGGTCAGAATTTACGGCGATTTTCTTGGAGATAATTGATTGAAACTCTCAGGTCGATCGACTTTTGACCCGATGACAGCTCGTTGTCTTAGCTTTTCGTATGAGTTCGAATATTGCTTGAAAATCTAGACATGGTTTTGTATGCGGGAATGTTTTGATGTACAGTATCCGGTTATCGAAATCCTTGGAAATTTCGAATAATTTTCGCTGAGGCTGATAATGTTCTCCTGACATCTCGTATGCGAGTGATTGCAAAAGTCGTCTGCTTCTCCGAGAAATCATCGCATCAGGTGGATGGAATCTGGTCAATTTTCAGCCATCATGTAATTGATGAAAATGTGCTACCGTTGCAAAGAGTAATGATGAGGTACCGTCGGAGATTATTTTAGTAACCCCTAACGATACCTTGAGGCGAATTCCGAAGAAAAAAATCCAGAAAAAACAGTCATACCTTATTCGGCTTCACAAGAATGTGCCACAAGCGCTTCAGGTGTTCTCCCGATCCCTGAGAGTCAATGGTTTGCTTTCTTGTTTAACCATCCATTACGATTATGACAGCTAATGGAAATTTACGATTATCAATTCTCAAAGACGCGAAGCAACTGTTCCGGGTGATGAAACTTTGTTCGTGAGCTCTTCTGGGTTTTGTGATCGCACTGGCGGAAGTGTGAGAATAACAACTTATTCACGCT